TCCATCGTCTGCGGTACTCGCCGTCGCCAACGCGTAAAGGCCCGTAAATCTTCCCCAAAATCTTTCTCTCAAACACTCCAAGAGCCGCCTCATCGGATGTTGTCATTGTCCATGCTTCTGCGCCATATACCACTCGTACGTCGAGAGAGGACTTTACTCCTGAATTGCCTACTCAGTCCAAAGTAGCACTTGTTGGCAAGACCGATTCTACGTTGGATTTCAATGTTGACATTATTATCGGTGTTGATGCTGGTTCCCAAGTAAACGAAATTCTCTACTTTCTCGAAATTGTAACTGTCAACAGTGACGTGGGTGCCAAGGCGCGAATGTCCTGACTGTTTGTTTGATGACAGGAGATACTTCGTCTTGTCCTCGTTTACCACCAGACCCATTCGCTTTGCTTCCCTATCCAACTTGGAAAAGGCAGAACAGACTTCGCGGTTTTGGTTACCGATGATGTCGATGTCATCGTCGAGTGTTGTTAGTTATCTCGAAAATAACTTTCAGTTTAACAACAACAAATTCAAATGTTGGAATGGTTTTTGCCTCTAGCTTATACTTCTTTTTTTCACAATTTACTGACATTGTAAAAGAGTTTTGCATACAAGACATAGAGTTAGATGCCCTTTTTACCGAATTCTTAGTCTTTCAAAGTTTTTGCGTAGTTGAAAAAGGTAATTTAAGCCATGAGGAAATATAGATGAAGTCCTTAAATAGTGGTACACAGTTTGAAATAATATGTAATTTTGTTTTTTTTTTTTTAATACCACACTCAAATGAAACAACTGAGAGAATAAAGTTTTCTTCCTGGAACAAAGAGAGAAACCGGCTTCAAATTACAATTTTTTGAAGTGAACTTCAAATTAAAAGTAATTTTAAAATGAAATGTATAGAATTCTTTGACTATTTAAACACTGAAGATAGAAATGATCTCGTTATGAATATAGTTTTATTTTTTACAAGCTTTTTCTGAAATATTCTTTTCTTATCAAATTTGGCCACATTTTATTGAACTTGGTTACTGGGCACTAGGTTGACCAGATGAGCTTTTCAAGCGGTTATTAGACATACTTTTGAGCGTAGTTTTACTTGAAAATAAGGATCATAATATAAATACATAATACATTCAATAAGTACCGTTGTTTCAGTTTTACAAGTATAAATGTATCCCGCAGAAACTTGCAAACTTTATCTAAAAATCAAATGTTATTTTGCTATCTCAATTTATCTTATTTTATCAACTTTTTTGCTAGCCAAGGCATGATAATTTGTGACAATTGTTAAAAAATATTTCAAACTATTGCTTAACGAAACAAACCTATTGTCAGCTGTTTTTCTAATTGCGATGTGAATAACATGCCAATGGAAATGATATTTTAATTTATTTTACAATCAAACGTGCTGTACAGTATCGATACGTTGCTTGAATCCAATGTCATTTCCTAAATTTGCTATAACTTTTCTATTTTCAAATCGATTTGCAAAAAATTTGGATCTGTATACTTTGAAATTAAATAAGCTTTAACATAGCATAATAATAAGAACAAAAAGTTTGCAGCTTTTAGGTGTAATTCACAGTAGAATAACGATGCGAGTTAAAATTGTGTCCGATTTCACTAATAAATTGGCAGATAACTCTTAAACTGATAATTTGATTGCAAAACATTCATAGGGATTTCAAAGACCTTTAATCTGATGGAGATCTTTTTGCGGTGTGATAATCACAACCGGATATTTTTGGAAAAAATTGAAAATGCTGTTTTCTCAATTTGAAAAAAAAACGATAATTTCGCAAATTCTTAAAACCTATTCTACTTTTTTAATTTTAAACCTCATATTCAGATTGTGTGAGTTATTTTACATAGCAAATGACTATAAAATTCACGACTTTCAACTATTTTGTTAAAAAAAATTTTCCCAGAATGCATATGGTTTTCTAAATTTTCAAATGCAACGCGCAAGTACTTAGAGTTATCATATTCGAATAAAATTTTGCACAGCTTATTTTTAGACCAAAAGACATCTTTTGCCGCCCGGCAAACCAAATTTTATTTTTAACGAACGGTCTAGGGCACACCTATATTTTATATATGATTCTCTTCGTAATATCTTAATAAATATTTAGATAAATATAGGTGTAATTCATTTTGATCAAGTGCTTAAAAAGTTAGACGAGGAATAAATATTTAGATCGCTGAAATAGAAAACAAAAGAACAAGTTGGGTTCAAACTAGATACGCTGTTCAAGTTGTATATTTGAGCAAAGATTCTGAAAGTTGAACTCACTTAATTGGGACGTTCTAAATTCAATGGCATTCCCCGTTGTACCAGATTGGCTTCGGTTTTCGAGATAATGGTACTTGAAAATTTGATTATGTTATAAATAACTCCCTCAGTTTGGAAGTTATTTTACTAAAATTTTGCACATGACTATTTTTTAATGTTTCCTTAGCTAATTCTGAAAATCATCGAAATAGGTTCACTTTAACATATAGCTTCATACAACTGATTCTTTACTTCATTCTAAAGACAAAGTTAAGAATAAAAATAGTACTAAATTTCTTACCTGCTTAACTGGAGGAGTTTTAACTAGCGTTGCCGTTTTGATACAATTGTATAATTTTTGATACTTTTTTTCCAAATTTTACAATATGAAACTTTAATACTTTTTTGTTCACACATGTCTCGTTTTGATACTTTTGGCTGACAGAAATGCAGTTTTGAATACTATGAATAATATTATTAGTTTAAAGGCAAATAATGTTTTTCTTGTTATTTAAAGACTTGAAATTTTATATGTAGATATTTATAAGTTTGATTTGATAACTCTTATAAGGGAAATACAATTTCTTTGCACACGCCGCTACTATAGGGCCCCTAAACCTAGGGTTGCCAACATTTCCTAAGAAATTTACAAAAAAAATCTGAAAAAATATAGTACACTTCAAACATAAATAGTATTTTTTTAAGAAAAAGTAAAAATGCTTTTTAGGTGTAAATCGTTTTTCTTTCTTATGCAATTCCTCTATAAAAAATATATTTCTTTGAAAGTATCATATGCTTATCGCAATCAATATTTAAATTAGTATAAATCAAAAGTTCATTTTTTAATAGTGAGATAGTAGCTTTATTTCTATCATCTCACCATTTCACAATTTTAATAAAAAAAACTCTTTCTGTGAATGCCGAAGTTGCAGGAATACAGAGCATAAGCGAAATAATTTTAAGTAAATTTGGTAAATCTTTCTAAGGGCCAAATTCACAGTGTGTAGTTAACTCAGAATCGGCAGTTAACTACAGATTTTCGGTATATTCTGAGTTAACTACGCACTGTGAATGTGGCCCTAAATATTTTTAAAAATGCTGCCATTTTTGGTCTGTGGAAACTTTGTTGTAAGATATATTTCTTTTAATATTATTATTTCAGTATAAATGTTATCCATTTTAAAGCATTTCTTTCTTGAAAATTACTGAAATATAATTATATTTATAACTGAAGAAATATAGTATTTTTGCATACTATATTTTTTTTCCAACAGTATATGGTACGCAGACCCAAAAAATAGTATAATACTATATATTATAGTACGGCTGGCAACCCTACCTAAACCACACAAGAACATTGCGCAATATCGGGCTTTCGTTGGTCGTTTTTGTGGTGTATGGGGTTGTTAGTACTATATTGCACAGTTATTGCGCTAAAATCAAAATCATTTTGATATTTGCTCATGATTGCTGCTCAATTTTTTAGTCTAGTTTTGATTTTGGTGTCCAAATCGTGCTGTAAAATATGGATAAGAGCGTAGAAAAAATTGCAATTTTTTTTTAATATTGACTTGCACAAATCTCGGGTAGCGCAATGATTTTGTGTGATTTAGGGGCCCTATAAGTTTGTTTTTCATTATACAAATAAGCATACAGATTCTCTGTTTTTGTTAAAGCAAGTAATATAAAATTTTTTATAACTATGGATTTAATTATAAAATTTTATTCAAGAACATAACAGTTATAAGTTTTATCGGAAAACGTTGTTCCATAACAGTTATTATATGAGAAATATTTTTTATTTGGCCGATAAGGGTTGTAACCCAGGGGAAATATGCTTTCCGTCACCAATAAGAGTTATTTCCAAACATTTATTTTTTACGTTGCTTGATAACAGTTATTTCCCAATTAATCATATCTCTAAAATTTCAAAGTCATTTGAAAAAAAATCCTGACGTCGCACAGTGGTTCAGAGATCACATCTAGCACGACAAAATTCGTATCTCCTGCGAACCATGGCGGATTATTCCCAAATTTTAACATACTAATCTACTTTAGAAGGAGCACATTTGAAGCTAAGTCTTGCTTCGATACCTCTACCGGTACCGGAGTTATAGCCTAAACTATGGTCACAAGAAATGGATAAGATTCACATTCCGTAAAATTATAAAAAATATGACAATATCAGTGTCAAATGAAAGGTAATCTGACGTGTTTTTTTCGGGTTACAACCCAGTCAAAATTTTAAAGTTATGTTACAATATCCGTTTTAATAATATTTCCGAGAGAATAACTGGCCCTTAATGAATGTATTTTTATGTTTTGTTAACCATACATGAACTTCCAAGTATTAAGCACATTTTTACGTTTTTCCAACGGCCACATAAAAACAGTAAAGCTTGTTTTTCATAATATTGTTTTTATTTCGTTGAAACTCTGTTCTCTTTTCAAAAAAGATATTTTTAATTTTTAAACATATAGCAACCTATTTTCTACATTTAAATTTATAGTTTAGTATGAAAATAAGTGTCCCCAACTTCATATATTTTTGTGGATCGAAGACTTTAAAAACCACAACCTTAAATTCTGTTGGGCTACTAAGAGAGTAGCTCAAGCAGAATAATAAAAGTTCTTTATATTAATAAGGAAACATAGAAGTAAAAACAGTTCAGGGGACTATTTTATAATACGATGAAATCTGAAGTTCATAAAAGAAATGTACATAGTTTAAGAAAAGACCTGGAGTCAGTAGCGATACTAGTTTGTCCTATCAATTTCATTTAGTAATTCAGCGTGTGGTGCTTCAAGCATATCCATCACATCTGGCTCCAGTTTTTTTCTTTTTACTGCATTTTCTTTGTAAACTTAATTCAGATATTACAGGATCTGATGATAGCAAAAAATAGTTTAAAATATCAACATTAGTATGCTTTGCACTATCTTTTCTACTTCTGTGTTCTCTTATGAATTTAAAGTCCTTATTTTTTGCTTCTTGTGCTTCCTCTCCTAGCTGACCAATAGGTAGAATTGCATGCTTTGTAACCTCTGATCCGTGCATAAGAACTTTGTGAACACTTGTCGGCATATTAAACCATGAATATGAGGTTGCAAACATATTTGCAGTTTCGAACGTATATTTGTGAAATTTTTTCACATTTATTTCATATATATATATATATATATATATATATATACCTAATACAAACTTCTATACAAGTCGTTAGAGCAGTCGAAAATACATACATATATTATCATAATAATGTAAACCATCCAAAATGTATGTACATTTGCATGAAAATTTGGCCAACTAACTTATGACAAACCGGTAGTTGTATAAAGAGGGGCACAGAGGAGGGCTTGTTTTTTCTTTTTCTCGATACAATAAGATTGGAACTACAAAATAGTCATATTTTCAAAACTTGCAATCGCTTCCACTTTTTTTAAATCTTCGGTGAAAATGTTTTTTTAATAAATAAAATCTTTCTTTTTAAACGAGATGTAACTTAAAATAAATTATCTTTAATTACCCTTTTCGCTTGAAAAACAAATAAAAGCAAATAAGGGTAGCTGAAAGTAAATGAGATTATAAACTCCAAGAAATTCACGTTTGATCAAATTATTATTATTATTTTATCGAAAATTTTTTAAAAATAATTTTCTTACTTTGGTAACGTCATACGTTAAAAGTACCCATCATTTCAGGATAATTTTCTTCTTCTGTCATGACTCACATATTTTACTGTAACTATGACTGGTGGTTTTTTGTTTTTGCTTATGTCAGAAATTTGATTTAAGTCACACTAAAATTGAGTTCTGAACCATAGTGCGTCGGAGCGAAAAACTAAAAACGAAGTTTTACAATATTTGGCCCATAGTTTCGTGAGTATATCGATTCCTTCGTTGTTTTGAAATTTTTTTGTTTTTTTTATGCTTTTAATATATAAAAATTATATGTATTTACATTAGACTGCCTCACCAAAAAAAGTTGCGGATTTTTCCGCCGGGATTACAAAATCTATTATATTTTAAGACGTCCACCAAAATATTTCGGAAAAATACTAAGATTTAAGCGAGATGGACCAATTTGATAATACCTTCAAAAATGGAGTTTTTTATGAATAAAAATAGTTTCTTAAAGAACTTTTTGAAAAAACTCCCCTCAGATGACAAAACAGATTAGGTTTAAAAAATCTGCATAAAAATATTTAACAATCTTTTCAACGGAATCGTAATAATGAGAT